GGATTTTTTTTAGTTCTCTTAATTAATCATTTTTTATTTCTGGGTTTTTATTTACATTTAAATTGTATTTTTTTACCAAGATGTTTTATTCAATCAATTTTTTTTTTTAATATTGAATAGAGATTTATTTTATATAATATAGTCTTTATTTCAAATATAGACTTCTAATTTAAATTACATTTATATAAACATCTATATTTGATAAAAATAATCTAACTTCAATAAAACAATTTTAGTTGAATAAAAAATATCTAAATTTAAATTGCAAATTGTAATACTAATAACTTATTAGAAATCTATATTTGATAAAGATTTTCTGTCATAGATTATTCATATTTGTTTTATTGAATCAATATTTTTTTAATGCGAATACATTATTTTATCAACTACATTTTTTGATAATATTCATAAATGTTAATACATTTTTATGAAATATAGATTTTTATTACATAATATAAATTTTGGTTTCAGTTGTAATTCTAAAAAAAAATACCATTATTATTTAAAAAATAAATTGTAAATACACGATAATTTATTTTCAGAAAATGTGAATTTAAATTATATATTTGGAGAATTTTTAAATGATATAATAAAAAAATCTATATTCAACAAAAAAATCTTGATTGAACACAATAAACATAATTAAAACTAAATTAAAATTAAAAAATCTTAATTAAAAATATACATATTTGATAAAACAAAAAATCTAAACAAATCAAAAAAATGTTATTTCATCATGCCTGAAACACTATAGATTTACTATACATAATTATATAATATAACTCTAACACTTTACCAGGTAATAAGGCTTACAGAAATGTAGTTTTATTTTATTATTTGCGAGTTTGTGGTGCACTTTTGTACATTTTGTTGGTAACTGTGATATTTTGATTTTTAAATATTTTTAGCTAACAATAATTGAAATCATTAGTGATAGGTACTTGTGAAGTAATGAATATAAGAATATAACTTAAGAACAAAATAAACTCGCTAAATTTTAAGTTTCCACTAAAATAAATAGTTTCTGCTATTTTATACTCTTCAGTTATTTTTATTTTTTTTTGTTGGTTATTTTACGTTTGGAATTGCATTTAAAATATTTCACATTTACTTTTTAGGAGGAAACAATCCATCAATTATTCCTACGGGAAATGCTTTACGTTTACTCAAATCACGTAAAATTGCTTCTGAAAAAAGAAATAAAGATGCTCTTACTGTTATTGCTCTTATGAAAAAAGAAAACGAATATAAAGATATTATTCGAAATGTGGGATGTGATCCATTTTGTATTTATTATTACAATCAAGAGCAAGTCTATATGTATCGAGAATATTCTAAATCTGTTACATATCCACAGATAATAATAGATGCAACTGGATCAGTTGTGAAGAATTTCATGAAAATCCGACTTGAAAACACAAGGACCCTATTCTTACACGAAGCAGTAGTGTATGGCAAAGGAAACAATCATAGTTTCACAGTCACTAACATGGTAAGTGAGAGTCACAACACTATTTCAATATCAAATTGGTTGACCAACTGGATGGCTAATAATGTTCCCCAGCCTAAGCAGACTGTTAGCGATCAGTCTTTGGCTTTACTTTCTGCAATTGTGAAAACATTTACTCAGTATTCTTCTTTAAACATCTATATAGAAGTTTGTGCCGATATCATCAGTAATAGATTACCTAGAGATTCTCGCTGGCTACCTCAATGCTATTTTAGATTAGATATAGCTCATTTTATGAAGTTCGCATGTCAGTGACCCTCACTTAAATCGTTGAAGAGGAAAGTACGAGAAATCATTCTCAGAACAATTGGTCGTTTAGTGAAATGTCAGGATATCGAAGAAGTTTATACATTATTGTTATCAGTTTTTGTGTCAATAACTGATGAATCAAATGGCTTAGTAAAAAATACTGCAGTTGAAACTTCATGTGAAAGGTTTAACAAAAGACTAATGGAAATTGTCTCTACTGAAATTATTGAATTAGATGAACAACTTGATGAACTAATAGATTATTCTGGAACTGGATCCGATACCCATGACATGTTAGAAGAACAATTTTGACATTTTGAAGGTCTTGAGTAACATAATCCTGTTCAACAATGGGTGGAAAATGTGTTTATTGAAAGTGAACAACACTAACAAGAAAGAACAGGTATAAATCCTCTATATGCTCCCGAAATTATTTCAAATTTAATTAAGGGGCCTGCGCGAGACCTGTTTTTTTGCTCAAAAACATGCCTTAGAGGAATAACTCTCACGCCTCGTAGATTGGTCCGATTTCTGTATTTTTTTTTTTTTTTTTTTTGTTAAATAGAGGAAGACTTATTGCAGGGCGCATTGGACTTGGATTTTCAAAATCTAATATTACAAGTTTGAATTTAATCCATTTTTACAACTTTTTAATTTTTGTATTATTATTTGTTTTTAGCAACGTAATCAAAAATCGAAGTCCAATGCGCCCTGTAAAAAATATTCTTCTATCTAACAAAAAAAAAAATTACGGAAATCGGACCAATGTACGAGGCGTGAGAGTTTTTCCTGTTAAGTGTGATTTGAGCAAAAAATCACGCTTATAATTTTTCTGTCTGGCGGTTTTGTTGACATGTGCATGCGTGTGCGTAGATAATCCGCGACCCGCAGAAACCACTTATTTTGCTTCTGGGTACCATGCCATTCTAGCGGTCTATAAATACGTTATCTTATCTACTAATCTACTAATACTATAATAATAATATATGACACTTTTTGGAACCAAGTACATTTCTGTGTAATGTTTATACTAATCGTTTATTTAAATTTATAATTAGTTAGAATACCTACATTATATACAATATATATTATTTTACCTACATCATGTTCCTAAAATTATTGGAAAACAACAATTTTTTTATGTAACCCATCCATCGAGTAGTCTCGTAATAGTAAAACACTTATATTTGGATTATCGATATAATAAATCATAACCATATCAAACGCTAAAACGTTCATAAATAAAAATAATATGTACGTTGTACACTTGTACATACAAATAAAAAAGGAAAACATGGATCACAAGAACGAAAAATATAAATTAATAATAATGAGTAACACACAGGTAAAATAATTCAGATTAGAATAAATTTATTTACATTTTATGTATACATTTTATATTAATATTTTTGGCTGTACTATTTCGGCCAGTAAATAGTTTTTATAAAATTGTATCAACTGACTCTCCATTTTAGTTTTCCAAAAGTATTCATCTCGTTCAATTTTTTCTATAAAAATATCTAAATAGAAATATAACATGTAATTTTATGTAAGGGCTTTAGTAGGTTTGGATGTTATACTTATAACAATCTTACTTGTTATTAATTATTATACTTACCTTTTGGTGTCCAAACTACAAAATAACAGTTTTGTTTATTAGCCACGTGCACTTGGTAGTAATAGGTATCCGTCTTTTTCAATTGCAATTCACCCGAGTTGTTGACCAACAGAAATTTGATTTTTTTTTTGTTCAACACCTTCGATAACTGTCATGTATTTAGCGCTATAAGGACACTTTACTTCCAATAAGTCCTTATGTCCTATCAACCCATCAGGAGAACAAACCAAAAAATGTTAAATCTCACCTATAAATAGACCCGCTGGCAATACTTCTAATCCCGACATCAGTTCAAAATCTTTTTTGGCAATGGTGTAATGGGATTACGCAATTCATGTACAACGCTCACATTAACAAGTACTACTTATGTAGAAAGCGGCCTCGTCGACCGCACCCAAAAGTGGTCATAGCTAGAATAGACGCTTCGAATCACAACAACTTCCCAAGGGCGCCTGCATGCCACGCGCCGCTCAATTCAAAGGGCGTCGCCTTCGTATATTCGTATATATAGAGGCCAGGGCTTCAATACGAATTAGATGTACCAGAGCCGCCAAGACCGAGACAGCAGCTTATGCACCAGCCATTGCACACAGCCTTACACGGAGATTATCAACTACTACAACAAGTCAACTCACGACGCTGCAATTTCACCACGACTACACTAATTATTATTGGTTTTAATAAAGTACAATTGATTCATATTTTAAATTGACTATATTTTATTGTAAGAGCACGACAGCCTTTGGATCCCTGAAGGGCCGCACGTAACACTGGCGCAGTCGGTATTGGATTCCACAAAAGAGGCAACCGTCAAAGGCTACTGTGAACAACGAAGAATTGATCACTCTTCTGCGAAGACAACTCCAGGAGGAACCAACAAAAACAAATAAGTCACGTCGCAGTACCAACAAATCCATCAGCACCGTCAACATGTCATCAGCAACCAGGAACACAGCATTATTGTGAGTGAATAATTATTTTAATTTGTTACATAGGCATATGCAACATAATTAGGACATATTAGATAATTCTAAGTAGTTGACTATAAGTGTAATGGTGTAAAACGTTTTAATTTTATCGAGGGCATATTTTATTGAATTTATTGAGGGCATATTTTATTAATTATTATCATTGAAGTTTTATTGAATTTATTAAGGGCATATTTTATTAATTATTATTGAAGTTTTATTGAATTTATTGAGGGCATATTTTACTAATTATCATTGAATATTGTTGAATTTATTGAGGGTATATTATTAATTATTGAAGTTTATTATTGAGGGCATGTTTTTATTAAAGTTATTATTGATTATTATTGAAGTTTATTGAATTTATTGAGGACATTTATTTATTGAAGTATTATTGAAGTTTATTGATTTATTGAGGGCATATTATTACTGTTATTGAAATTTATTGATCTATTGAGGACATTTTATTATTGAAATATTATTAAAGTTATTGATTTATTGATGGCGCTTTTATTATAAGGTATTATTGAGGTTTAGTGAATTTATTAAAGGTCACATTATTAAAGTTATTATTGTATTTATAGGGCATAATTGAATTATTTTTGAGTATTATTATCATGAGTATTAACGTATTAAATAGGTAGCTAAGTAATTTATGGACGAAAAAGGTACATCTCCCTTGAACGTAGCTAATTTATTGTATGACACTAGTGTAGTAGAAGAAGCCCAGTTAGAAGCCCAGTTATTAGCCCAGGAATTAGCCCAAGCCCAGTTTGAAGCCCAACAGAAAGCCCAGTTGAATGTTATAATAGAAACTCAGTTAGGAGATAGCGCAAGTAGAAACTCAAGTCCAGGAGTAGTCACACGTAGCCAAGTTACAGATAGTTTTGAACATCAGTCGTTAGATTTTGTATCTAAACCACGCACTAAAAAAATGTCAGTAACCATAAAATTAGAAGACGCTTTCAGATTAATTCCACATTGCTCAGGAATAGACGATATCTATCAGTTTATAAATGCATGCGATATGGCAGTAAGTTTAGTCGACGCAAACAACGCACCAATACTAGTAAAATATATTGCTACACGATTAACGGGTAGAGCATTAGAAATGATTAAATATAAAAACGTAACAAAATGGCAGTACATAAAAACTTATTTAACAGATGCATTCGAATCGACAAACAATGCATCGTCATTACAACTTCAATTAAATTCGATTAGAATGAATCACAATGAGGATGTAAATGATTATTGCCATAGAGTAGAGAAACTATATTATCAGTTATGTACCGTAAGCACGTTAAACAAGGAAACTGCAGAAGCAAAAATTATACATGAAACATTAAGGGAACAAACTTTAGCAATATTTATTAAAGGATTAGTGGAATTAATTAGGACAATACTAAAATCTCGTAATCCCAAAACTCTGGAGATCGCGAAACAACTTGCTATGTCGGAACAGGTAGAACTAAGATTAGAACAAGAAAATAGAAACCATTATTCGAGTAGTTATTCACAAAACAACAATCAACGTAGAACAAATTATGAAAATAGGAACAACAGGAACGTTAGACCAAATAATTTTGTAAGGCCGAATAATTTTGCACGAAATAATTATACGCGAGCGAACAACTTTTCTCAACCGATTAGGCCACCAATAAGGTGTTATAATTGCAATGGAAATCATTTTGCATCACAATGTAGAAATAATTCGAGACCTAATTACGCGAGCAACGGCAATAACAATCGTCCACCTAATAGAAATAATTTTACGCAACCGCCAACAAATTATAATACGCAAACAGTTACGTGTTCATATTGCAATAAAAACGGTCATAATGTAGATTCATGTTATAAAAAGAGAAACGACGAAAGTAGAAATAATTCGGGAAACGCCAACGTGTCGAACGAGTTACGCGGTACTCGCACGATAAACCAGATTATCGCGGAACAGCCAACTCACGAATATTCCACATATTCGCAACAATAGAAAATAATCATATAATATTCAAATCTATCGCCGCAAAAACAAATCAATTACACTTAATGATAGATACAGGTAGTCAGGTAAACATTCTTAAAATAAATTGCTTACGCGAAGAATTAGAAGTAGACGAAACACAAAAAATAAATCTGCGCGGTATAAACGAATGTCTCACAGAAACCATAGGGAAAATATCAATATTAATCGAATTAAATGGCGAAAATATTAAAACAGAATTTCATATCGTGAGTGCTCGATTTCCAATACCCAAGGACGGAATATTAGGAAACGAGTTCTTGTCGAAAAATAACGCAATAGTCGATGTAGCGAACAACAAATTAATTATTCAAACGACCTCGCATACACTAACAAATTTCAATGAAGCCGGCAAAATAAGTTCCGTTAAATTAAAACCGCGAACCGAAACTATTGTAGGAATACAGATAGCTGACCCACTAATAGAAAGCAAGGAAATATACATTCATAAACAAGAATTAGTAAAAGACGTATATTGCAGTAGTACCGTGTCTATCGTTAATAATGGTAGGGCAATAGTTAGCATGTTAAATATATCAGAGGAAACGAAAAGTATGTCTGAAATCGACCTAAATAAAATACTCTATGATACCGAATACGAAATATATAATGTAGAATCGACAAATGATCATAATGAGCGAATAGCACGTTTGAAACAAATAATAATAACTGACCACATGGACGAAATTGAAAAACAATCTATTTACGAAATATGTGAACGATATAATAGCATATTTCATTTAGAAGGGGATGTTCTAACCTACACCAATGTCGGCACACATTCTATTAAGTTAAAAAAGGATCAACCACCTATTTATCGTAGACCTTATAGATTACCACATGCCCAACAGGACGAAATACATTCACAAATTCAAAAAATGGAAGAAAATGGAATTATCGAGAAATCGAGAAGTCCATGGAATTCCCCACTATTATTAGTACAAAAGAAAATGGATAATTCAGGCAAACAAAAGTTTAGAGTAGTAGTAGACTTTAGGGCACTAAACGAAGCTACTATAAATGAATTTCACCCTTTACCAAATATTACAGAAATACTAGATCAACTAGGAAATAGTCAATTATTCTCTCTCTTAGACTTATCGAGTGGTTTTTACCAAATTTTGATGGAAAAAGATTCACGAGAGTTAACAGCCTTTTCGACTAACCAAGGTCACTGGCATTTCAAACGAATGATACAGGGAATGAAGACAAGTCCCGGAACTTTCCAAAGAGTTATGAATTCAGCTCTGGCAGGTTTAATAGGAATAAAATGCTTAGTATACTTAGACGATATAATAGTATATGGGAAAAATTTATATGATCATAACGAAAAGTTAATAGAAGTTTTCGAGCGTTTACGAATAAGCAACTTAAAATTACAACCAGATAAATGCAACTTCTTAAAAAGAGAATGTGTATATCTAGGACACGTTATTACGAAAGACGGAATAAAACCCGACGAACGTAAATTAAAAGCAGTAGTAGAATTTCCAATACCAACAACTGTAAAAAACATTAAATCATTTTTGGGATTAAGTGGCTATTATAGAAAATTCATAAATTCATATAGTGCAATAGCAAAACCACTAACCAATCTATTAAAGAAAGACACGAGTTTCGTATGGAGTAACGAATGTCAAAAGTCATTCGATACCTTGAAGGCAGCGTTATGCTCAGAACCAGTTCTAAAATATCCGGATTTCACAAAGACCTTCTTATTAACTACAGACGCGAGTAATAAAGCACTCGGGGCTATTTTATCTCAAGGAGAAATAGGTAAAGATTTGCCGATTTGTTATGCATCACGCACGCTAAATAAAAGTGAAGGCAACTATTCAACAACCGAACTAGAATGTTTAGCAATAATATTCGGAGTAAAACAGTTTCGACCATATTTATACGGTAGAAAGTTTATAATACTTAGCGATCATCGCCCATTAACGTGGCTCTTTAATTTAAAAAATCCATTATCAAAGTTAGCTAGATGGAGAATACAATTAGAGAAGTACGATTACGAAATACGTTACAAACCCGGAGTTTTAAATTCAAATGTAGATGCACTCACACGCATGTACTCTATACAGGAAATAAAAAACGAATCATACGAAAAATTTCTCGAAAAATTAGAAACACAAATTATCACAAATAGTAATGTAAAAGAAACTATAGGCACAGTAATAGATTCACCAAAAGAATATAATATAGTGTCAGAAATTGCCAAGCAATATAATTTTAGAACAGGAACGAATTATCAGTTAAAAAAACAATTTGGAAACGGTACAATATTGCCAATTAGTAAAGTAATAGGGGACACACCATATTTTAAACATGAAAACCGGTTTATAATATTCTTAGTAACGAAAAACAAGGACCGACCGAGGGCCACTTATGAAAGTATATATATATCACTAATAAATTTGAAGCAATTTTGTAAGGAAAATAATCTAAATAAATTAGCCATGGGCAAGTTAGGCGATCACGATGATTTAGAATGGGAAAAAATAAGGTCAATGTTGCGATACATATTTCGCGAAACAAATATAGAAATAATTATATGTGCAAATGTAGAATATAGTGAAGAAGAAAAAGCAGTCATTTTATCACAATTTCACGACTCAAAACTAGGCGGACATTTAGGTGTGAATAAAACTACTAAACGTATAAAACAACAATTTATATGGAGGGGAATGAAAGAAGATGTTAAAAAAATATATAAGGAATTGTACGTCATGTCAGGTTAATAAGGTATCAAATCGACACATAAAACAACCAATGGCTATTACATCCACTTCGTCCAAACCATTCGAAAAAAAATTTATGGATATAGTAGGGCCCTTGCCGATTACACTGTCCAATAATGTATACATTTTAACGATGGAGGACGATTTGACACGTTACACTTTAGGAATTCCACTTCCTGACCAGAAGGCAAATACTGTTGCGGAAGCCTTTGTTACATACTTCGTTTGTGTACACGGCATACCAGAAACAATACTCACGGATCAAGGAACTAATTTCCTCTCGAAAACGTTTGCAAATGTTTGTAAGATATTAAAGATAGAAAAGGTTAACACAAGTCCATTCAGACCGCAGGGTAACCCCGTAGAACGCGCTCATAGGACTTTAGCCGAGCACTTAAGACATTATGTAGATAAGAATTTAAATAATTGGGATCATTTACTACCCTTTGCATTCTTTGTATATAATTCAACGGTACATACTTCTACTAATTTTCAACCATATGCATTAGTCTATGGACGTACGTTGGAGGTACCAATTAGATTAAAAGCCGAACCTGAACCACGTTACAATTATGACGATTATATATTCGATCTAAAAGAAAATATGCAAATTTCGCATAAGATAGCTAGAGATCATTTAATTAAAAACAAAATAAAAAGTAAGGAACGTTATGATAAAAATGAAAATCCACAAGAATTACATGTAAAAGACTTAGTACTTTTAAAAGATAATAATCATAGAACAAAACTCGATCCAATCTGGCTAGGACCATACGAGGTCACAGCAGTACTAGGAAACGAAAATGTAGTTATACAGCGGGGCCGACGAGGCATCACTGTACATAGAAATAACGTAAAAAATATTATAATGACGAGCAAGTTATTTAAGAGAAATAATATTATAAAATCATGTTGATATTTAAGTTAGAATAATTATATTAATTTTAGGAATAGAAACAGAACATTCATTTTGAAACTGGAAGAAGAAATAATAAATGGAAACCACGATACAACCAATTTAGGCATAGAACAATTTCCGAAATGTTTTATAGAACACATAACTATAGCTAATAATAAATTAACCGAACCGTACACCGAAGCGGATTTAAATGAGATCACCCGCAACATAAAAGGGTTTCTGTATGATATGACAGAAAATAGAATGGGAAATCTGGAAAAAATTAATTGTCAGGACCTAATTGAATTTATCGACGTTATTCCGGAACCAGAGGACCTACTTTATTACAAAAACTTATTCTCAGAAAGTAATTAATAACTCGGTGTATTATTATTAAAAAAAAAAAATAACAATAATATAAACTAATTAAATCTACGACGTTGGGATCAAAATGACCCAATAACCGGTCTTCGACGATTTCCGCACATTTTGAATTATTCGGAATCAGTATCAGACACAGATCCATCCTCTTCTCCGTCGCTCATTAAAGCAGCTCGAACCACGTCGTCAGGAGGGGGCGTGAATCCTTCTGGCCATTCCACTTCTAGCGTAATATCGGAACGTCCGCGCACTAGGGAAAATATATATATAATAAAAATAGAATATAGTAACAAAAAAAAAATAATAAATAATAATGTAAGAGTTCACACAATTGCGAAGAACATATTTTCGGCATCTCTCTTCTTTTTTTTGATAATCGGAATTTTTCGTCGGGTCCATTTATAACAAAATCTAAAAAAGAACACATGTGATAAATATAATGGTTTAAATTATATAAGAATAAAATAAGATAGTTTAATTTAATATAAATATAATTTATACTTTTAGATTGGTGATGGTGGCGAGTTTTCTAGTCAATACTGTCGACTCTGACGAAATAAATGCATCAGAGTACTTTTCGTATACGCCTTATGGAGTTGGCAGGGGTATACAATATGAAGGTTTGGGGCCAGTTAGATTAATAGGGGCTCAATACAGTCTTGTAACGTTTTTCTCATTAAAAGAATATAACACGAAATATGAACTATTGGGGGAAAAAATTAAAAATATAACAAATTTATGTACTGATCAGAAATACCAAGATTTATGTGGAAAATATCAAATAGTAATTACAGACTTATATAACGAAATAACTAAACAGAAAGAACGTACATATATGTCACTAGGAAGTACTATGGAGGACATTAAAAACAGAAAGAAAAGAGGATTAATAAACATAATAGGTAACACCATGCATACGTATTTGGCGTATGTGATGACAAATGCACTAAGAAAACACGAGAAGCTATACAAAAAACGGAAGAATCAGGAACTAATATAGGTATTACACATAATGGCAGCTCAAACTACTGTAGTAAAATCAACAATAAGAAGTATTGGTAACACAATAAATCAAACCGAACAATTATACAATAATATTACGAAAAAGGAACAAAAACTATACGAAAAAATGTCAAAAATACAAAACAAAACAAATGATACATTAGATTTACTAATGAAAAATGAAATACATAATTTATATACAATAATTATTAATCAATATTCCTACGAAACAGAAACATTGGGACAAATAGTAACTGCCGCTAGAGAAGGTATGATACATCCAAGTCTTATGACACCGCAAGAACTAGCATCAACATTAAAAGCAATAGAACAAAATATAAAGAAAATATACAGTATTCCGATGGGAACAAAGAGATATGAAATAAATGAATTCAAAAAATTACAAAAATAAGAATCTACTATTCGAACGACAGATTAGTATTCGATATAGCAATACCACTGATTATTGACACTGAACTTACATTATACAGGTTAACACCAGTACCAATGCGTCATAACCAAGATAATTCTAGTGGATGGTACGTGATGGACATTACTTACAATAATATTGCTGTAACCAAAGGCTATAAAAGGTTTACTACATACACAGATCAACAATTAAACGAATGTAAAGAAACATCAATATACAAAATATGTAATACAGGACAACAATGAACGCCAACCATGCGAAGTACAAAACTTTATAAAAGCTGACACGTATTCTAATCCTGAGTTATGTACGGTAAAGAAAATTAATTTAAAGAGAAGCGTATACCAAAAATTAAAAAGAAAAAATACATGGATCCACGCAGGAAAAGAGACTTTAACAGTAAGTTGCGCTAACTTAATAGATCCATTCATAATACAAACAAATGAAGCAGGAGAAATAGCTATAAACGACATTAGTTGCCAAGTATATGCACGGGACGCGGTATTAACTGCCACGGAAGAAATCCAAATTACAAAATATAAAGACTTTACACCTGTAACTAACATGAATAATATTTTAGAAAAAAATACCCGAACATATACACAAATTCGAAACAGATGAAAAATGGGAAAAAGGACCAGCTATGCAATTCACAGATTTACACGATGCATCCAAGTCTTTAGACGAAGTACAACAAATGATTAACCAAGAACTTTTAAGAGAACAAAATCAAAAGCATCAATTTGTACACAGTAATTTGCTATATGTAACAATAGTACTGGCAGTAATATCTATTATACTAATAATAGCAATTTATATAATGATAAAATGCAAGTATATTAGGACCACAGAAGTCATGGAATTACCCGGCAGAATAGTTAGATATAGGACACCCAATAGAAATGACTACGTACGAAATTATGAAGAGACACCCTTTACCCCACCACCTTCACCAAGATAAAGTAATTAATTAAAAAAAAAAATGATAAAAAATAATAAAATAAATATATTTAGAGTAGTCGCTAGTCATAACGAATTATTTACTTAAAATTTAATTATTAATAGAATAAATATATAGAATAAAATAATATAGTACATACAAAAAGAAAATAAATACGTAACATATTAATAAAATAATAACCACTAGGAATAAATAAATATTATTATGCATAACGAAATAATTCATAGAATAATACTTACAAATAATCACGATGTAACAACTATATAACAGGCCACTTTAATTATTTCAGGAACTAAAAGGAGAACAAATATTTAAAACATACCCACATAAATAAGAAATATAAAATGAATAGGAACTCACCACCTACTTCTCGTACAGTTCAAAAGACACTACAAACAAGAGAATTCTTTCACAGACTTATAGTAGAGTTAATAACAGCACGCCACACACAAATAAATCATGGGGGAACAGTGACCCTACACTGTTTCAGAAGACACTTAAGGAGGGCGAATGAAGACATGACACACCCCTTTCCAAGACTAGTTTTGGAAAGAGTTATGGTTCATGTATGCAACTTCGTACACACGGTGGTTGAACGACCGGACCACAACAGACCTATTTGTGTAGAAATTGGTTTGTTGTTAGAGCAACTAATAATTAGAGGCGTGGCAATAAACCAGTAAACGATATAGTTCCAAGAAAGAAATAAAAAAAAAAAAACATAAATGTATAATAATATTATTAAATTATAGTGTTACTGACCTTAAATAATAAATTTTATTTTAGCTCACAGATCCGTTTTTTCATAGTGGATTTCGAATTCTTTACGGTTAGTAAAGAGGAAACATTATTGGTATCCGGGGCGATTTCAAATAGTCTAGAAAAATACCAGCCCAAGAAATTGGAAGGAAGTCCTCTTATACTTACAAAAAACGATAAGTTAAGAAGATTCCGGCAATGCGATCTTAAGAAAATAGTGCAAACAATCAAACGGGTATTCCGAGGGAAAAAGGCAAGCGTGATTACACCACTGTTGGACCAGTTATACAAAAGTATAAGCCACCCGGGGGAATCAACCTTGTCAACGGTTTACTTGCAAAGATATTTGCACATAGACAATAGGGATCCAATAATAGTTTTCTGGAATGGAACGACGGATATAATATTAATTAATCGATTAAGAATAAAGGGTATTGTAGCATTTTTAAATATATCAGCGTATAGTATTAAAAATAATGATGAATTTAATTTAGAATTGACAAATTTAGAAACTAAAGAAGTTTTATATTCAGGGTATTTAGGGAAAATGAATAAAAATGGTAGAATGT